ATTTTCTTAATTTTGGAAGAGAGTGAGGACTTTATTGATTGGTGTATGGATAAGAAAGAAATTTAATTTTCTTTTCAAGATAGTATATATTCGAGCAATTGGCTCAAACAAAGACACAAAAGGACCAATATGTATTTGTATATATCTATTGAATAAGGACAATTCTAATTAATTAATTAGATGCATTTATTGACTCGTGACACATTGTCTTAAAGCTATCGACATAGCCTTAAGTGCACCTAACAAGGAATTTTGGAGATGTACATATATACATGTTATTACTCAAAATTTATGCTATTATAGTTTAATGGAAAATATCATTTCAGGAATTACAAGTTACATGCTCAAAAACTAGCTGCGGATTACCACCGACTACTAGAAAATTCGACTTTAAACATAAATTGGATCACTAATAAAGACGGATTTTGTTTCTGCCTTCTACCTATTTGAATTAGTTATTATCAGTATGGTGATGGTACTAGACGATTAGATGTGCTTCTACGTTATGTCGCTCGTGTCCTCAATTGATTTTATTCATCAATTGTAATGGTTTTGTCTAACAAACTTTGATCGTGCACGTTTTTTTATTTTTACCGAACGGGTTTTATTCGGTCTCGACACTTGCGTTCGTCCTTGTACTACTTATATGTTGTTCTCGGTCATGAGGTTTTTGTTTCAATTTTGAAATAGGGATTACGTACGCATTTGGATATGTACAAGATTCAAGCTAAATTAATTAGTGTAGAATGCTTTATGCTATCTTAATTAACTAAGACAACATTTAGTACCTCGAAAAAACGTCATGACCAAACTATATAACAGACACATATATATACCTGGAAGTGGGTGCGACGTGTTGGATTATCTTCTTGCATATTTTAGGCCCCGTTCATTTCGTTGATTCGAGTTTAGAATTCGAGTTTTGCTACAGTAAAAAGCTCTCACAAACAATCACATCTAACTTTTTTGCTACAGTAAAAAGCTCTCACATAAAATCACATCTCAACTCGAATTAAAAACTCGAATCAACGAACTAAACATGCCCCTTACCTGTACGATCCATAAAGAAATCGCGTGTGTGTGTATATTTATATAATATGTTAATACATATAGGTTGATTATGGTATGCTGTTGAGTGCGAGTGTAAACAAAGAAAGATATTTTCTTTCTCAATGAGTCATAAATGTCTGTGTTCCAGCAAATAAAATTAAAGGTGAGCAAAAATATGCATCTTTTTATATATTGGTGGTGCTTTTGAAAGATATTTTGTTTTGTTTGTACGTACCTAGTATGTATTTGAAAGGTATTATCAGTATTATGGAGGGCATACACATTACAGACTAAAGTCTAGGCATTGAAGATTCAACAAGAGAAATGAATATGCATAATATACATATATATATATTTGTGTGTATGTGTATATATACATACATATATATGTGTATATATATAACACATTATCCTATCGGATATGCGTAATGAATGGATGCCCTAACTCCACGATTAGGCCCCGTCCACCTTTTAAAGGAATCATGTCAATCATTCATTTTTATTGCATGTGACTATATCAAGGTGGTGCCAGAACATGAAAAGGAAACTGTCTTAATGTTACGTAGTACTCTTGATCCAAAAACCACTTGATCATTCAATAGTACAATACTGATGTAAACCCATCAATTTCTCCCATCTCAAGCAATATAGCTAGGCTACATATATTCTATACATATATTCTATACATATACACACATACATATAAATCTTTCAGCGTTGAGATTACCTAAATCTAGCTATTTATAGCTAGGCTTGATCTCTGCAGCTTTAAAATCTCTTAATTTGTTTGTATCTATGAATGATGACTGATCAACCATCATTTGTCTCAAAGACTACCGGCCCGTTTAGTTCGTTGATTTAAATTTTTAATTTGAGTTGAGATGTGGCGTTATGTGAGAGCTTTTTACTGTAGCAAAAAGTTAAATGTGACTGTTTTTTAGAGTTTTTTACTGTAGCAAAACTCGAATTCTAAACTCGAATCGGTGAAATGAATGGGGTCATTGTTTTCTAAATATATTTCCCAATTCGTCACAAAAAAAAATGTATATATAGATACATCTATAGTTTTTACTCTACTATACTTCCACCATAATATATAAAAATAAAAAATATAATTTGATATTTTATAAACATGACCCTGACATTAAAAATACTTAACACTAAAAAATTTAGTCATTTGAATTATCTTCATGACTAATTTTCAATACTAAATGTTATGTTGAATAAATGTCATGTTACGTTTTTCACTTTTATGCGTTATACAAAAGTACGTTTTAAGAAAACCTATATGTATCTATATTATATATATATATAGATATTGGCCGTTATGAAACTTCATTATCATGAATGATGAAGGAAAGAGATCGGCCCCAAGTTGGGGTGATTTTTGGAGGGGAGAAAGGGAAAGATGCTAGTAATAATGAAGAAACAAAACTCTGGGGTTTAACAAATGGAAAAAGGTGAAAACGAAAGGAACCCCTTTTTCAGCAGAAAATGCGAGAAATGGTCGGTTGATCGATCGATTCATATCTCTGAGGAGGATCCAACACCATTTACAAGCTTTCATGAATATGAGGATAATATACAGCCTTCGTCGTATTGTTGTACGACTCTCTTTGCATGTGCGTTTTCTCATAACATGTTTTTTCCTTCGTACAAACTCTCTACAACTATAACACCCACTTGCGACTGATCTCTTTTTCGCATTGTCATGCGTACATACATGTGCTCTCTCTCTCTCTCTCTCTCTCTCTCTCTCTCTCTCTCTCTCTCTCTCTCTCTCTAGTTAATGTAGTACCAGTACATTTCTCTCTCTTTCTCTCTCCTCTCTCTCTCCCAGGTTGGTCCCCAAGGACTGTACGGAATGGATACGAATCCCTGCTGTTTGTTACTTGGTTAGATTGTGTGCTCTGAGAGTATCTCAATTCCGACAAATGATATGACACAATTCCCTTCTAACAGTGTCAAAAAAAAATTTGCCATTGACTGGTGATCAGTAGTGAGTGGTGGCCGTGGCCCATGGAATTAGGAGCTAAAAGTAATAAATTCCATGGCAACATTAAACCCTAGATAATCACTAGAATATTGTGTATTATGATCACAATAGCTGGTTATATATTGATCAAGTACTTTAATATTCACTTAGCATAGCTACGGTACGAACTAGACATTTTTTGATTACATACCGTATATTTTTTCAAGTTTTGAATGATAGTTAGAGCTACGTTCACTTCGCGGATTCGAGTTTTCAATTTGAGTTGAGATGTGATATTTTCTGAGAGCTTTTTATTGTAGCAGAAAAAGTTAGATGTGACATTTTCTGAGCGTTTTTTACTGTAGAAACCTAAAACTGAAAACTCGAATCGGTGAAATGAACGAGAACTAGGTGTTGAAAATTTGAGTCGTTTTTCTTCGAGTAAGACTCGACGATAAAATTTTTAGGCTTCGTTCACTTTGCGGATTCGAGTTTTCAATTCGAGCTGAGATGTGACATTTTCTGAGAGCTTTTCACTGTAGCAGAAAAAGTTAGATGTGACATTTTCTGAGAGTTTTATATTGTAAAAATTTAAAACTGAAAACTCGAATCAGAGAAATGAAACGAGACCTTAATAGTTCACATTGATTTGATCATCATTTTGACGCGTGAAAGGTTGTAAGGTGCGGTGGTGTAAAAAAAAACAATCTTATCATAGTTAATTTAGTTCCATTATTCTTGATATATTTATGTATATTATCATCGCTTGTGTACCGTTAGGTGAGTATGCCGGATTTTCTCTTAAGTACATGAACATGCATGGTATTGCTTCCACATGACATGTTAAGATGAACTGTAGTTGATGATATGAGAGTTAGTGATGATAACTATTATTGGTGGATATTCAAGTTAAGAGACTTTAAAAAGGGCAAAATTATAAAATGTTGAAGGATATATCCATGCATTACTTTACTTGCGTTTGAAAAAAATCATGGATTCTTATTATAGCGAAAAGAAAGAGCATAATAAATAGGGTCATTTGTTTACCCACCATCACTTAAAAGAGGGTATATTCGGGGGAAAAAAAAAAGTGTACTTTATTAGTGGATAGTGAACGATGTGTGTTACCGTGAAGTATATAGCAGTGATAAATATTAGTGAAATTAATTCCTCAAAAACAATTCTAAATTCCACCTTCTAAGAAACATTTCTGAATGGATAAGGTAGTTCTTTCTATTCAACCACTAGTCAAAAAGTGATTGTGTAGAATTCAAGAAGAAGAAAAAAAATCCCAACTTTCTTCTTTTTTCCATTCTTGATCATCTTAAGGTTGAATTACAATACATATTTCCATTTATTAGCCTCTAAATCTTACAACAAGTGTCAGACCATGGCAAATTTATTATAAGTTTTCCCAAACTAAATGTTTCCCCAAAATGAAATATAATTTGAGAATGTGATTCTAAACTTTTATCTTTTACAGTAGTGTCAGACTGTTAGGTGTGAAGTCGCTAATTTTTTTCTTTTTGTCAATCCTTTAGTGATGAGATATATATGATTTTTATTTTTATTTTTTTCTTCTAGATGGACAATGTTTGCATCTATGTAGTACATTACAGCTTCTTAATCAAAATAACCGCGAGTTCTTCTAATTAAATTACTTTTTGCTTGTTTGTCATCATACTAAAGTATGAAAAGGACTTGTTCCTGTGCACAAGAGAGAGAAAGAAGAGAGAGAGAGAGTAACGATATTAACTACCAACCACATAATCAACCGCATTCGAGGAAACAAGAGGAATTTATAGAAGGATAAAGGGAACAAAAAGAGAGAAAGACAAACACAAAAATTGTAGATTTTTTTTTTCATTTCTCTTCTAGTAATTTTTTTAAATTATTATTAAATATCTAGATCATTACTAGCTAGTAGTAGATAGAGAAAAATAAATCCTAAATAAAGCTTTTTTTTTTTTTTTTTTTAAGAAGAAGCCACCCATAAAGGCTCCCAATTTAACATTGAACTTGTTTTCTTCTCATATTGTACTTCACCATCTTCTTTGCACCTCCTCATATTACTTGCTCCTCTCTCATACTTTTCCCTTATTCCCATTTTACCCTTCTCCCTTTCCTCCACTTCTTCTTCCTCCTCTTCTTTGACGTCGTTTTCCTCTTTTGTGTCGTTTTCATGCCCTTCCTTTTCACTCACCACATTTTTCTCCTCCGAGTCAAACGTAGCCGGTGGTGCGCAATAATCTTCTTCCAACAAACGCAGTCTTAGGCGGCCATCACTTCTCTCCGCATGGAAACAAGATCTCAATGTTGATGGCCCTTTAACGGCCCTGATTACCAGCCGCCCATCTTCCCTGTGTGGCCTCACCTGCAGAGAATCCCTCCCACTCATCGTCGTCAATGGCGGTGGGAAGCTTCTTTTTCCCCTCGTTGTCGTTTTCTTCTCCTCCGTCGTCGTTTTCTTCTCCTCCGTCGTCGTTTTCTTCTCCTCCTTTTTCATCTCCGAACTCCAAGCGCTCGACAAAATGCCGCTCTCGATTACGTCGCAGCTTCCCGTCTCGTTCCCCAGATTCTCCGTGCACAACTCCAGGCTCTTCTGGCTGAGGGCAGACGACGATCGTTTTACCAGAGGGTGGACGTATGTCGCTTTCTCTTTCTCACTCTTGGCGGTGGGGAGAGACTGGAGGAAGCTCCAACCCCCATTACTGTTGTTGTTGTTGTTGTTACTATTATTAATATTCTTCTTATTATTATTAGTATTATTATTATTAGTAGTAGTAGTAGTAGTATTCCCCTCTTCTTTGTGATCATCGTTGGAGCAGTGAAATTTCCTCGTCGTCTCTGTCGTTTTCGCTTCCTGGAAAAATGGCTCAAAGGGGCGCGAAAAGTGAGGTAAGATTGATGAGGAGAGTTTTAGCCTCAGTGCTCTTGGCTCTAGAGGAGACTCTAGACATGACTGTAAACCTGGACATACAATAGTTGCCATCTTTTTCTTTTTGTTTGTTGTTGTTGTATGTCCGATATTAAACCCAAAACAAAAAGGTATCCAAAAAAATGGAAAAGAAGTTGTTGCGATGGTGTGAAACAGAGGACTTTTGGCTTCTGGGGTGAAAATGGAAAACTGAAAAGTTTCTCTCTTTCTGTTTTTTGTTTTTTTGGTTTTTCTAGTGCGAAGAGTGAGAGAGAGTGACTTGGAGGGTTGGAATGAGAAAAAAGGGTCTTTTTCTTTTATGGGTAGAACTAGAAGAGTGAGAGAGGCAGGGCAAAACAGAGGAGTTTTGGGTCTTGGGCTACAACAGAAACGTAAGTTTGTTTTATTATGGAGAGAGAGAGAGAGAGAGAGAGAGAGAGAGAGAAATATGGAGAGGAGAAGGGAAAGAACATGTATGATAAGCGAGGGGAAGGGTCTGAATTTGTAGTCCCAAAAAGTGCCAGGAGGGTACGGTGTAGGGAGGCCTTTCTACACCACTTGAATTATACATTTAGTATTTTTGTTTTTGACTCAATCTGGGTTTTTTTTTTTTTTTTTTGAAATTTATGTGTAAATAAAATTTATCCATATAAGAAGACGTTTTGCTGCTGGTACATGTTTTTAAATATTAGATTTAATTAAAATCAAAAGAAAATAAAAAAAATAAATGTATATATACGACTGATATATTCTGATAAAGATTTTTTCACTTTAAAACGATACTATTCAATATCCTATTATTGTTAAAGAGTGTTACAAAGAATTTCCATATAAACTAATGTCCTTCATCTTTTTCATGAATGTAGTTAAAGAGAGAGAAAGATGGGATTTTGATTCCTCCAAAAATTACCAGCGTTTTCTTATCTTCCAAAGGAGAGAAAACAAAGTCAATAGACAAGAAGGATTCTCCCCAATTTTTCTTGAAAGTGATTGCTACTTCCTCTGTTTAATCAAAAAATAGGAGCATATAGAAATTCTAAATCCTATCCTCTGTGTTATGTATGATTCATATGTCTTGACAGTCAAGATACCAGTTGATTTTGCTTCAAAAAGGAATAAAGAATGGAACCAATATATTACATATATTTATATATAATTCATCACATCAGCCCACATCCTTTGAATTTCCAGGAAAGATGAAATTACATTATTGCACACCATACATGCCAACCAAAATGTACAACGGATCTGAAATTCAACACCATTTATCGTATTCTTTATCCTTAATGCCGACTTCTGAGGCAACAAAAGACACAATACCGTGTCTGGGAAGGACAAGATTGTCATAAATCAAAAACTGTATGAATATTGAAAAAATCACCAAAATTGAGGTTCCTGCATGGCATCAATCATTATGTTTGGGGTTAAAAAAAAAAAAAAAACTGTGACAGATATTAAAAATGAAAATCTATGGTCGATATGAAAGTATCCCTATCGTAGAAAGTCCTTAGAAAATGATGGGCCAGATTCCCCTTTTATTTTGCTCCGAGGGCCTGAAATATGCAAATTTTCACCTCTAAAGACTAGTTTTGCTGTTCATTTGAGATCAATCATAATAGCGTCTTATGAATATGTTAACCCCGGGTATATTGTTTAAAAATTTCAACATTTTGGTTTTGTGTTTTGCTTTTTCTCAACCTTATGACTTCAGATTTTCCACCTTCGTAATAATATTCTTTTACGTTTGGTTGAAGGATTCAAACCATGTGATTCGAATTATTTTTGATTTACGTGTATTTTTTGTGAGAGAAAATACTGTAACGAACCACGAATCATGATTCGAATCAGGAAACGAATCCCTCTACCAAACATCCTATTATTCTTTTGGGACACCTAAAATTGCTCCAAAATTGGTGCTGCAGGGTTTGTGTTAACATCATTCTGTCCTGGCACATTGGCTTCCATGATCAAGCCCACACCTTTTGTGAAGCCACTTCACCAATCGTACGGACGCCTTGTGCAGACACACACACAACACATTTCAAAATCACTTTGAAAAGGAAATAGTGATCCTCCACTAAGTGCCCTTTTGTTTGTCGGCTAGGTGCTTTTAGCTATGCACCCTTAGGATCTTTATTTCTCTTTCTTACTCTTGAGAAAAAAAAAAAAAAAAACATAGATGTTTTTCTTATAGAACTTCCTTAGTGGTAGGAAAATATTATTGAATTTATTTTTAAGATTGTATAGATCTGAATTTTTACTTATCATTTTTTATTAATATTCTTTTGTTAGTATAATTATTTGACTAAAAATATTATTAATTAAGAATAAGGAGTATAAATCCCGACCCTTACACTTTTTAAGGGGTATTTGTCTTTTTTTTTTTCTAATTGTTAGATCCGATCGAAATCACATTAAAAATTATAAAAACATGCAGATCACAAACAATTTTTGATGTTGATATGATGAGTGATGACTGAAAAATAAAAATTTATCGGTAGTTTATTTTTTTAGATCCTGTCATATTAATATCTTAATCTTAATAAAAAAAAATTTAAAAAAAAAATCAGAGGAAAAAACAAGGTCAAGTATGACACATGTCCCTAAGCCATGTGGGTAGACAACAAGTGACCTACCCTAAATGCTAAAAGTTTCACTGGCAAAAAAAAAAAAGCTAAAAGTTTCAAAAGATAATTTGCCCTAAAAAAGCTGCAGTTAGGACTTTCCTAGCTCCTTTTACCTAAAGGGTCTTGCGGTTTGGTTTCCATGTATGGAAATATTAAGTCATAAGTTTTACATTTAGAGGAAAAAGAGAAGTAGAAGGGGGAAAAAAAATATAGTTGTATTAATGTAAATTATGGCCGTACATTACCACCGAAACTGCACGTTCCATTCTAGTATAGTTGAACTATTAAACATGCATGCATGAACAAGAACAAGGACCAACAACTTTTATTTTTGTTTATGTTATTTTAAATATATTTCTAGTCGTTTTATGTGTGTATATATATATATACATGTATATGTATTTTCTTGGGTTGGTGCGAAGTAGGGTGCAATGAGGTGGGAGTGATGAGTCATGACAGAAGAAACTTCAAAGGAAGGATTCTAATGGATCTAAAGCGCTGACTAGCCACAGTGTTAATTTCATTATAAGTAAGTTTGATATTTAACGTAAGTATATATATATATGTATGTATATTTTTAATTGGTGAATTGTTTGTTTAAAACAAAAAAGATGACATAGTTAAAGATATAATTGTGTGCAAACAAGTGTACCAAAATTAGTCGAGTGCTTTTCTTTTCGTCAAACGAATAACTTGATGATGTCGTGAGACTTTTGCTGTGATTCTAATTTTTGTTCCTTGGATTTCACATAATTTCCAACACCAGTTGTTAAGTCTGACTTGATCTTCTAGCCAAAAAAAAAAAAAATCCGATTTGATCTTAATTTGTGATTCATACTTGCTGGGATATCGCCAGCGAAAGTGATATTTATATTGATTATTTTTTATGAATCCCAAATTTTGAGATCATTTCCACTCATATATTTTTAAAAGTTTTTATTTTGTCTTTCGAATGTTGAATATTAGTCTCACTTAATTCTGTTTGTTAAATTTTTTTTTTTAAAATAGTCGGAAAATGAGAGGTTAAGTGTGGTTAAATTGTATTTTTCAGTTTGTTTTGAATGAAAATTTAAACAAAAAAGAATTAAGCGGGACTAATTTAAAAATATTCGAATAAGAGCTTTTAATTTTTAGGCAAAGTCAAAATCACCTCAAACTTGATTCGTATATACAAATATTTATATATATTTCATATATTCCATGTTTTAATAATTCTTCTACCGCAACATCAGCATCAGCATATGCACGTATTTTATTGCTGAGAATATTTGTGAAAGAAGAATCTATTGATAGCAACCTTAATTTGTCCTCAATAAAGTAGAAATTAGAATTTCTAAAACTCGTGGATGCTTTAGTCATCAAAGACGACAATATTTAGTTGGGTCAAATATGTAAACCACGTTCCATGCATGTTTTCTGTTTATCATATCAGATTTCAAGTCATACACCATGGATCATGTCATTCCATATGTATGAATGCATTTTCATTTATATATATTATTTACTTAAGAATATGCTTATATGCAGTCACTTTAAAAGTAAAATGACCATCTCATATGCATGGATACCTTAAACTCCAATTGTTGTTTTAGTTTTTCCTCCTTGTAGGTTCCAATATCAGTACACACACATGGTACAATATGAACACAATCAGGTGCCGTTTGGTAAACAAGATTTAAATGTTCTGAATCAAAAAGTTCAAATAAACGGGGGTTTGGTAAAGATTTTTTGAAGTTTGGTTCAAACTAATGATTCGATATATAAAAATAAAAAATAAAATTAAAAAAAAAAGTAAGAATTTTGAGTTTAACTCTCCGTCCCTGCGTTTTCAATGTTTTGAACTAAAAATTTAAATCACATCGATCAAACATTCCATTTCAAATCATAAAAGTTCAAACCAATACGTTTTGAACATATTTATTAAGGCCCGTTCATTTCGCTGATTCCAGTTTAGAATTCGAGTTTTACTACAGTAAAAAGATCTCAGAAACAGTCATATCTAACTTTTTTGTTACAGTAAAAAACTCTCACATAACACCACATCTCAACTCAAATTAAAAACTCAAATTAGCGAACCGAACGGACCCTAAATGTGTCCTTAGTTACAAACTTACATGCATATATGTGTTGATTTTCGAAACGATTTCGGATGCAGAAGCGTGTGAATAGCAAATCTTGTATAACAAAAATTTTTAGAAAATTTTTGATATACTCTATAGATTATATTAATTTATGCATGAATAAATTAATCATATTAATTTATTTACCAAGAACTGAATTATGAATTACACCTAGCAGCCGATTAGGATGATATCTTGTATTTTTTTACCATGAAAGTTCCTCACTCTAATGCCAGTTTAGAACACCTGAATTTTCTTCGTCAATTTCTAGATTCCACAAAGACGTGTGTGTGAGCACACTTGACACAAAATAGGATTAGCAATAAAACACTTAAATTTTTCACAAACACCAACACATGCACGGTGTGAAATTTTTTGGAGAAAATTTTTCCTTCCCATTCTATGAATATTCGGCCACTATGATTTTTGAGAGAGAAAATAATCTCTTATTTATAGAGTAGTAGTCAAACTCTCAGAAAAAGTCTAATCTTTATCTCCAAGATAAGGATCGTGTATAACAAAAATTTTCATAAAATTTTTGAGATACTCAATAAATTATATTAATTTATGCATGAATAAACTAATCATATTAATTTATTTACCAAGAACCGGATTAGGAATTATACCTAGCAGCTGATTAGGATGATATCTTGTGTTTTTTTACCACGAAAGTTTCTTGCTCCAATGCTAGTTTAGAACACTTG